ACTCCAACATGAGGAATCCCGCCTCCAATTATCCCATCAACTGGAGAGATGCCAGTCGAGGTCTCCATAGGGTTAATAGCGGTCCCAACAATGTTGCTTCCATTGTTCACATCGTCATTTGCATATGACACCATTTAACTAGAGAACAAGTAACAAATAATTTAGTATAATTTGTAAAGTTGTATATATAAATTCAAAATCCGAATAATCTGATCGAAAAAATTTCGAAATTGAAGAACAAATTTATTTTTGGCAAATTATTAGCAACTTGGCAATAATTTAAAAAAATTATAAATAATTAACAATCATTAAAACCAATCATTAAAGAAAGAATAGACAATTATATCCTAATGATGAGAAAATCATGTTAATCACTGTGCAATAATTAAATAATCATGCAACTAATAATTGTCAAATAATTTAAATAATTATTACCAATGATTGTAAAACCATGTAAAACCATGCAAAACCACTACATGCAAAACTAAAGAACGCATACAGTGTGGGAAACTTCCTGTAACTAAAAAAAAAAATTTCTTCGAACATACAAACCTAATAAACTTACTGCGTGTAATTAAATAGATAGATTATGTAAACAGCAAACAAGATGAAGGTGGGGAAAAAACAGTAACCAAACTAGACAGTAAACAAACTGAACAAAAAATCGATTCTCAAACTTTCTCAAAATGAGGAATTCGATTTAAGCTTGTTGGGAAAATATTGGAGAATCAAAGTATATTAATCAAACCGACGGCCCATGTTTACACGGTTTCCTTAAATCGAATTCCCCACCTCACCGGAGTGCAAGAGGTTTGATTAGTGTTCTATTCCAAGGATACAATCGGTTGTTGNTTTTTTTTTTTTCCTTGTGTTTTTTTATCCACTCCAACTGAGAGTTCTTCTATTTATACTCATAGAAGAGGAGCAATCTCTTTAATGCATTGAGTGAGGAGTTATTTGAATGAAGAGTTAAGCATTGAAGAGATGAGTTACTTGAATTAGGAGTTAAGCATTGAAAAGATATTTGTAACTCATATTTTCATTCAATTTTCCAACAGATCCCACTCTCGCAGTCGTCCGTTTTACCCCGAGATGTCCTGGGCAGACGCTGGTCCCGATGTACTACACATATACTTACACATGCATATTATCATCTACAGCAAATTTTATTTATATATTTTTTCAAATTCATGGAAACTTATGCGAAAAGTGTGAATTTTGTTTTGCAAGATTTATGATATCTTTTTTTCCTGTTGGAACCCCGTGCATTTGATTGAATTTTGTGTTTTTCAATATTTAAAATTTGTTAGGTAGCGGAGGGTCAGGTTAGTAGATTGTGCGTGGAGGCGCAGGAATGTCTAGCACAGAACCGATGGTTGGATTTGGCCTCATTGATGCTAACCTCGGCCGATTTAATTTTCTCCAAAGCCTCGGAGAAAGGTAATAAGATTGCGGTGCATTGTAATTTTGATGTATTTTTCTTTTTAACGGGTGTTTTTGACATTAAATTTGGAGAATTCATCAAATTGGCAAACTCCCAATGTGCATGCCAATGGCCTCAAGTTCTAATTTTTTATTTCAAAGGGTTTTTTTCTATTTACAGCATCTTAAATATAAATTTCTTCTTTTTCTTAAACTAGTCAAATCAGTCCTTAGCCTAATCAAAATGGACCCGATTAAAATGGACTCCAGTTTTGCTCATCTTGACGAATCATTACAAGTGGAAATGGGAAGGGAGAGAGAAGATGACTCCAGAAAGAGGGAGCGACTTTTTTGGGATTTTTAAGGAATATAAGGTTAGTTATAAGAATTATGAATAAGTGAGACATTTTTCAATAAAATGCCTTCAACTTAGGCCTTTTAAGTAAATCTTTAAATGGGGAATTTCCAACTTTACGATGAGTGAAGTGGATTTTATTAATTGATTATTAATAAGTAATTTTGAATCAGTGTATGTGTAAAGATGTTCGTATTAGATGATTGTAGCCATTTTCTCCCTTCCTGCTCCCTTCTTGATCTAAGCCCATTTTGTAATTTGTTGCGATTAATTGTTGAAAACTTGAGCTTGCTTTTTCTTTCAAATATTATATCTGGTAAAAGCTTTAGATCTTTTATCATGAATGCGTCTACACTGTTATTTGCAACCTTGTCACAAAGCCCGAGAGCCTCGATCAAGTTCATGAGATCGCGGAGCTTATATCCACGAAAGTTACCCTATAGCCAAATGATAAGACTGCATTTCGCTTAAAGATGTAATGTCCATTGGCCATAATCAGTTTAGTTCAGTGAATTTTACATCTTCTGTCTAATCACTAATATATATTTTTTTTCTGTTTCCTTCCCGCTTTACAGTTTGTTTAACCTCTACAACCTATTGGAGAGCCCATATAGCCAGTATTTTGTGTACGTGAAGTCCCTTAATTTGGCAGCGAATGGAAAAGTCACTGAACATGTTGTACCATCATTTAAAAAGATTGATAGCCTTTTGAGGGAGTGGAATCTTGGAGTTAAGGAACAGAGAGAGCTGTTTCTTACGGTCGCTAATATTTTGAGGTGAGAAACTTGCTTTCTTCTTTAAAAAAAAAAAAAGAAAGGTGAGAACCTGAAAGATTGTTTTAAATATTTGGTCACGTTTTGACTGAAAGTAATTTTGAAAATTATATAAAACCTGAAGGTGAAGCATTTAAAGTTGTTGATTACACTAATTCGAGAGTGCAGTCAGAACAAGGAGCGCGTATTTGGGCAGAATCAATGGCAGAATCAGTCTTGAACACCATTGTTGCCATCATTTACAATGATTAATTAAATTTTTACGTGTGTGTGTGTTTTTTTTCCAGGATAACATTGGAAATGTAATAAGAACCATTCAGGCTAACAAGTTTACTGAAGATGCTACACAAGCAGTGCAAGGATTGACGCTTCACTGAGAATTTTTATTTGATCAACCGTTACCAGCAATCCGCTTTACCGAATTGTATTTGTCACTGGTTCCAGCCTCTTGAATCCCGGACAACGGCGAACCAAACAGGCAAATTGGAGCTTTGGTTTGATCAGTGAAGTTCATTTCTTACATTCAACTAAAATTTGTAGTTGTACATTTTCATTTTCGACTACGTTGTATCCATGTAATAGCAAGGTGGCAAAACGTGACAATTTTTGAAAAGGCGATAGTGAAGTCGTCCTTTCAACAAAAACTTTAGCATGTGATCACGTCTTTTTCTCACTGTCCTTCTAATCAACTTGCTCATCTATGGGCTCTTAAGGAGGAATAGCCATTAATTTCTTATCCAAAACTATGAATTTGTCTATAATTATCTTCATCTTCTGTTATATGGATCAAATATTATTTGAGATTTTTTTGAAGAGAGACATGAACTTCCTTTACTTTATAGTGGGCGTTCTCGCGATCCTTGGCGAGACTGTCAAGACTATAGAATGTTTCAGCACCACCACAACCGCCAGCGCCACCAAGTGCAACGGTTCCACGATTGGTGACTGCATTTCGATAAATGAAGAGTTTCTGATGGAATCAGAAATAAGTATAAGGAATTTGGATCAACAGTCCGGAGGGATCAGTTACCAAACTTTCATCCCGCCCAAACCCTTCTGCAATGCAAATGTATACAATAGTTGTATTGGACAGAAAAACACGAAATTCAATGGTCGCCCTTGTACCTACGGTAATAGGTGCGATAGGATTGGGAAATGATTTAAGGATCAATCAATTGTGGCGAGCGTGTACGGCTTTGCTTCTTCTACAAAAGAAAAGAAACTGGCTTATCTTTTACTTTTAAGCTAAGCCAAACATGATCAGTATTCCCGTTTGTTGTCCTTTGTAAATGTATTTATTATGCGAATAATTAAGAGAAATGCTATTCATCC